CTCCTCAAGCACCTGCATGCACATGGTACACATGAACTCACTCAGGGTGCACACACACACACACACACACACACACACACACACACAAACACAAAATCAATCAATCAATGAATCAATCAATCAATGTAATAAGCTGTTCCTTTAAAGATCTACCTGGCTGGGCAGTGGGGTGATGGCACACGCCTTTAATCCCAGCACTAGGGGGAGGGCAGAGCCAGGTGGAGTGAACTCTGTGAGTTTGAGACCAGCTTGGTCTATAGAGCAAGATCCAGGACAGGCCCCAAAACTACACAGAGAAACACTGTCTAAAAAAAAAACAAAAAAATGAATAAATCACTAAATATCTGCCTGACCCTTTTCTGACCCAGCACGATGGAGACCACACCACTCCTTGTTCCTCAGGGTATGTGGTCATATGGACAAGGCAGTGCACTAGTCAGAACATTGACATCAGAATATGTCCTACCATGTCACCAGCCATGTGACCCTGGGATCTAACCCACCCTCCTCGGCCTCAGTTTCCTCCCCAGAGTAAGAGAGCCCAAATTCCCACTCCCCAGTAGTAGGGAGTTGAGAGAATATGTGTGAACCACTGACCAGGAGCAAGTGCACAAAAAGCCTTCAGAGATGACCCTCAACTAAGTAGCTAGGGATACAAGTCAGTCAGCTGGAGCAGCCATATCAGGTCGGCAGGGCTTCTGGGAGGGGAGAGGGAGGCCTCGTGGGCAGTGCTCCTCAGGAAGGCTCAGGTACAGGTGCTCAGGGTAGAGATGAACAAGAGAGGATGAGGGGTCACTCTGGACCCAGGGCTTATAGAAGCAAACCCATGAGGCTCCACTGAGCATGGTGTTGGGGCTGGAGGAGAGGTGGCCAGCAGCTCACAGGCAGGCAGGAGGGGAGCCTGGAAGGGCCAGGAGGAAAGCTCAGAGAACAGCAGCACCTCCATTCATAAGCCATCCCTCTGGTGCTGATCAGCTTTGGCGTCTTTGGGAAGCTGGCCAGCTTTTCAAATTTAGCTAGTAGGTGATGACTTCTAGGAGAAGAAACAGGTGCTGTGGGATGTTCTGTAGGCTGTGATTGTGCTGCTCTGATTGGTTGATAAATAAAAAGCTGATTGGCCAGTAGCCAGGCAGGAAGTATAGGCAGGATAAACAGACAAGGAGAATTCTGGGGAATAGAAGGCTGAGTCGAGAGATGCCAGCCTACCGTCCAGGGAGCAGCATGCAATGGCACACAGGTAAAGCCATGGAACACGTGGCAACATAGAGATTAACAGAAATGGGCTGAGTTTAAGTGTAAGAGCTAGTCAGTGGTAGGCCTGAGCTAATGGCCGAGCAGTTTTAATGAATACTTAAGCCTCTGTGTGTTTACTTGGGTCTGAGTGGCCGCAGACCGGGCAGGACACAGAAAAACTTCCGGCTACATGTGGGAGTAAGGCTAACATCTGTCCTGCACAGAGAAGGGTCCAGCCCTGCTATAAATCTGCCGTGGCCTCAACAGCTCAGCCACCCTTGGCGGATTCACCCTTCAGAGCAGCTCATGCCCAGAACCCCCGCCCTGAAGCCTTGGGCCTTCTGGTCTAGTCACCCTCAAGAAAGGGCAGACATTGGAGCCTTCAAGACAAGCCTTGGCTCTTAGATTGGGTGGGATGGGGATATGAGCTTAGAGGTAGAAGCTGTGAGGCTCTTGAGGGCAGACGCTGGTTCTCCCGTCTGTCTTGGGGCTCCTCAGGGCAGCATGGGGCTTCTACCTCAGTTTCTTCCTTCACATCCCACATGGAGATCTGTCCTGAGGCCCCCTTGGGATGTAGGGTAAATTCCTTGCTTACTTACAAAGCTCCCTCTGCACACTGCTCCAAAACAAGACAGTGGGGGCTCTGATGTCCTGTCCGCCTTCAGAACTGTGCTCTGGCCTAGCCTTTGAACAGACAGTGCGATGGGCCGATGAACAGCCAACGAGGGGGCCCTGGGTGGTGTGGCTGCCAGAAAAAGCCGAGGATCATCTTCTTCACCCTTGTGGCCAGCAGAACTTGGAAGAGGGGTGGCTCCCACACCCCACATGGCAGGGGCTTCCTGGGGCCCCCAGGCCTAGGCCTGTCTTGTAAATAGTTTAACTATGTTTACATAGCAGTAATATGCGTGTTACCTTTCACAGCCACCACATTCCAGAGAGCAATCTTGGGTGATTTACCTTGCCCTGCATGGCTGCCAGTCTCTGCAGTGGGTGGGTGGCCTCTGGGTCTAGCCCCACGGTCCTGGAGAACTGTAGGTGCCCCACCCCCCACCCCGTGGCCCTACCATGTGTGTGTTCCAAATGGGGATTCATCATCAGGCTGCGGGGGGGTGCTCTAAGGAGTCTGGGGAGCTGGGGGGAGGGTGTGGCACCTTACCTGAACCTTGCTCACCTCTGTGCTCCAGACAGCTGAGTTCGAACCTTGCCCATCACGTTTATGGTGATGAATGGTGGTGGCCTTTAGCCCTACTTCCAAGCTAACCCTGGTGTCTGGTGTGGCGGCCACAGAGATAAAAGTAACAATGTGCTTTTGTTAGACTGCTCCTGCGTATTTAGGAAGTGCAGCCAGGGAGTCCTTACAGGCACAAAGCTAAAGTGAGGACACTAGACAAATTGTCCAAGGACATAGAGACCGAGGGACAGAAGAGCCCGACACAAAGGGAGCAGCCAGTCCTTAGGTTCCTCAGCCCCGCAGCTGGGACCTGGAATGGGCAGCATGACCAACTGGAGACATGGGGACCAAGGATTTGTCAGATGTCTATGGCACAGTCCACATGCATGAATGCTGTGTGTGCAAATACCTGGGGTACACTAGGTGGGGAATGGGTGCCTCCCACACAAATCTGTATGTGTGCCTACAGCCTACGAGTGAATCCCCACACATCCTATCCACCCCATCCCCTTAGGGTATGGCATGCGGGGCAAAGGACAATAAGACCCAGTCAACGTGGTCCTCGTGGTTGCTAAGAGCCAGCCCCCATCTTTGGGGGAGTGGGAGACCCACCTCTGGAGACCACACTCCCTGCTCAGTTCTACAAAAGTGGGAAATCTTAGGATCTCCCGCAACAACCCAACCAGGGACTCAGGGTGCCTTCGGTGGGGCTCGGGCCCCTTTCTCAACATAAATGGAATCAGTAACAATGTCTCCGAGAGGCTCGGCCCTCATGCCTGCCTGACCTTCCAGCAGTGGTTCGGCTCTCTGGCTGCCTCCACAGCTAGCAGAAGGACCACAGCAGGAGACTTCCAGATGCCCAGCCCCTGGGCTAGCCAGTCTTACCTCACACTGAGTTACATGGGCCTTACTAGGCAACAAGGGACCAGATCTTTACATGGAAGCACCTGCCACAGACTCCTGAGGCAGGAGGTGGGCAAATGACCCACTGGCCTGGACTGACCTAGAAATGAGGTCTGAAGGGACCACTTTCGGTCTAAGGCCCAGCTGTTGCCTGCTTAAAATTCTTAATTTTGCTTTGTTGTTTGCTTTTGTCTTTCTCTTTTCTTTCTGCAAATTATGTAGTCAGTCCTGCCACGGGCTGAGGCTTTCTCGGGGTAGGATCGGTACAGACCTCCCCCAGTCTGGCTTCCTGCACACTCTTGTATGGCCCTCAGCCTTCTAACTCAGCCTCCTGCTCAGGCCTGGTCCGGACCACCCAGATGTGGGTAGCTGTGGTTTCCTGGTTGCCCACAGCTCTGCCACAGCATGTGAAGATGCCCTTCGGCGGTGCGCTCCAGTGGCGGTCCTCTGTCACCCAGCCTGCGGTCGCCAGCCTACCACAGCCAGGACACTGAAACCTGGACACAGCTCTCAACCTGCCTCAGCGGTTGGCTGAGAGCCCAGGGGTAGACTGGTCCACCCCAACACTGATAGGCTTTAGCTCTCAGAAACCCAGTTGCCTCTGCTTTCAAATGGAGAGTCAAATGTCTCCTCGGCCACATTGATGGGAAGATGTCGGGTCCGATAATTTGAATATTGTCACTAGTCCCAGAAAGGATTAATGCTGGTCTCAGGAAGTCAATTCACACCAAGAAGAGACAGTTTAAAAGAGCTAGCCTGCTCCCTGAGTCTCTCTGACCTCTGTGTGACCTCTTCTATGTGCATCACTGCCCACCAACAGGCTACCATCTACCGTGAGCCCCTTCCCAAAGCCAATCAGGTGTTTTGAGCCTCCGGAACTGTGAGCTTCTATAAATTAACTTCTTTTCTGTATAAAGTACCTTTGCGCCCTGCCCTAGGTATTTTTGTTATAGCAACAGAAGATGGATAAATATAGCAAGTAGCAAATGAGAGGCACCTAGTAATAAGCCCAATACCCCTTAGTACCTGGAGAATATTTAATTTAAGCAACTTTCCTTAAAAGACAGTGTCTCATGTGGCTCAGGCTTAAAGCATCATGTAGTTGAGGGTGGCTTTGGACCTACTGTTCTCCTGCTTCCAGCTTCCTAGTGCTGGGATTGGCAGAGGTTTAGCTGATGGCTGAGTGTGGTCCTCAGCATGCTAGGTAAGCAGTCTACCCACTGAGCTGCATCCCAAGTTCAGGTTCAGGCACTTCTTGATGGAGTGTTTCCCGGGTGCCCACGGAAAGCCATGCAGCGATGAGCAGCTGCCCCTCCCGGAGTGCACAGCCTTAGCGCGGCCCAGTGGCTGCCAGCAGAAGGGTAGGACACTGAATTACAGTCTACATGGGATGCTGGCGTACGCGTGAAAATGGGGAAGCCTAGGCCTACTCTGGGACCCCC